ATAGCAGTAGCTGTCCTGCATAAGTTGTGGTTGTCTCCTAACTCCATAAATTTTTGTTCAATAGGTTAGCAAACCAAGCTACTCATCTCTTGGCAAGAGAAATTGGTTCTCAGTCCAATCGTCTCCACCCGTCTATATATTTATTGTCTCAATTAATTGTCCCTCTAGTTAGAGGTGTCTTAAAAAAACAAAACAAAATAAATTTACCAACCAAAATTATACTTCAAAAAGAAATTCAAAGAATAATTATCACCAATTAAACTTATGGCCCTGTTTGGTAAAAAAATTAGCTTATTGGCCAATTTTGACTTATTTTACCACTATTAATTGTTGGATTTAGTTAAAATATCAATATAAATGTTTGGTTAATTAGCTTTTTGCAATTCCAAAAGGCTAAAATTCAAAAAGCTACTCCAAGCAACTTTTTCAATTAACTTTTTCAGAAAAGAAATTATACCAAACAGCTATCAAGTAACAGCTAATTTACCAAACACTTTTCTACAATCAGCTAATGTTATCAACTATTTATACCCTCTAATTAACACAATCAGCCAACAGCTAACCGTTATTTTACCAAACAGGGCCTATATATGTTTTCAAAAGAGTTAATTCCACCAGAGCTATCTTGTCTTTGGTGACAATTCCAAATTTAGTCCCAGACTATTCTTTTTGTCGTTTAACATCCCTAGACTATTATTTTTTGGACACTTAGTCCTTCCCATTACTTTTTTTATTTTTAGTAAGGGCATTTTTGTCACTTCATATTTTTCTTTTGTTATTTTTTCGGTTTCAACCGGTTTAATAGTTTTAGGACTTATAAAAATCGATAGAAAAATATGATTACTAAAAATCCGAGGTTACCTAAAGTTATAAATCAATTAAACCGATTGAAATCGAAAAAATAATAAAAGAAAAATATGAAGAGACAAAAACGCCTTTACTAAAAATAGGAAAAGTGATTGGAAGGACTGAAAGTGTCCAAAAAATAATAGTCTAGGGATGTTAAATGACAAAAACGATAGTCTGGGACTAAATTAAATTTGGAATTGCCACCAAAGATAAGGGACCTCTTTTGGAATTAACTCTTTTCAAAAGTTATCAACAATTGGAGCATAGGAAAATTATTGTAATTTATGCCCCTCACAAATATGCCAATTATCAACGTCATCTCCGAATTATTAATGGTGTAGATAGTGCCCCTCAATTTAAAAAATGTGACATATATTGTCCCTCCCCTAATACGAAGGAGGAGAAACATTGTTGATGGCCGAAGGAGAACAAATGAAAAAATAAAAATGGAGGAAAAAAAATGTGGCATTCGAACATGAAAAATGGCGGGTAACCACATTTACACCACTAATAATTCAGGGGATGACAATATATGTCACATTTTGAAAATTGAGGGGCAACATTTACACCACTAATAATTATATGTCACATTTTGAAAATTGAGGGGCAACATTTACACCACTAATAATTCAATACTAACATTAATAATTAACATATTTGTGAGCGGTATAAATTACAAGAGTAAAAGACATTTTTGGTCCTAGACTTATAGTGGCTTGGACAATTTTAGTCCTTTATAAAAAATTTTGCCATTTTATGGACAGAGTTATTGTGGCGAAGACATTTTTGGTCCTCCGTCTATATTTTTGTTAAATAACCGTCTGAGAGATGGGTAATTACGTCAATTTAGGCTATCTCCTTCTATCTCTTATATCTATGTTTGTTTTGTTTTCTTCTCGGTCATAATTCGAAGGAGTCGGAGAGTCAAAGTTGCAGTAAAGGCATGGTTGTGGGCAGAGCATTTCGTAGTGCAAAACTACAAATAAATGAGGGTCAGAGTAAAGGCATGGTTGTGGGACCAAAATCGTCCATCTCACAATAAAGAGATAGCCAAAATTGACGTAATTGCCCCTCTCTCATACGGTTATCTAACAGAAATATAGACGGAGGACCAAAAATGTCCTCGCCACAATAACTATGTCCATAAAATGGCAAATTTTTTTATAAAGGACTAAAATTGTCCAAGCCACTATAATTCTAGGACCAAAAATGTCTTTTACTCAAATTACAATTTCCCTTTGAGCATATATAAAAATAATGTTTAAAAGCAAACAAATGATATATTGGATATAAAATTAATTCATCGATCAATAAATCACACTTAATAAATATGAAAAAAAAAAATTGAGTGAAACTAAAAGGTAAAATCTAGTATATGTATTACATCATTATACTTAGGCTTATAGATACGAAAAGACCAAACCTTTATGCAATTATGCAGTGTGATATTATATCTAAATTTTAAAAATTTAGTAAAATGATCACAATTTTTTTTTAATTTTAATTTTTTTTTTTTTTTTTTTTTGTGTTTTGTAACAGTTATACTAATTGGCAAATTAAACCATGGACCATGGGTCCTTACATATATGTACATAATTATAGGTACATTAAAATAATATTGTACGTAGTGTTGGATCTCAGCGCTGCACTATGCAGAAGTCAAGCACGCTTTACCACAGAATTTTATGGTACCTGGTTGTCATATCCTATTCAAAACCAATTGGTGATAGGTAGGTGTACATTAACCATTTAACCATCTCTCCATGGTAAGCCACAACACCACGTCTCGAATCGAGTAGGGGCTAAACTCGGCCTTCCTGGCCGACGCCCAACACGTAGTACATAAAAATGACACCAACAATACTGAATTTATGTACCTTTAACTTCTATTTTTTTTTTTTTATGTACCTTTAATTTCTATAAACCAAATTTATGTATCTAGAGTAATGGTTTTTATGTACTTGTAGACTTATTTTAAAAAATTGAAAAAAAAATCAATATGGTGTTATTTAAAAAATCTTAATTAGACTTTTTAATAATATATTTTTTATACATTAATTTTATTTATAAAAAAAATTGGGGAAGTAAATTTTTGGATGAGGTCCAAATATAACTAATGCTAATTATTCATATCAATTTTATTAAACTTGCAACTGTATTTTGTAATAATTATAATTTTTAGGAATAAGGGTCAAATAGGCCACCGAACTGCACATCAAAGTGCAATTAGGCCATCGAACTAAAAAATAATGTAATTGGGTCCCTAAACTACACAAAATCATGCAATTAGGTCTAAAATGACCTGTTGACCTGAAATTGTGCTGACATGGCGGTTACCAATTTTAAAAATAAATTTTAAATATAATTTTAAATAAAATAATTAATTAAATTTAAAAAAAAAAAAAAAAAAAAAAAAAAAACTAGAACTGCCGGAGACAAATCGTCTCCGGCAGTCTTCGTCTCCATGGCCGGAGACGAAGCTCTTCGTCTCCGGCCATGGAGACGAAGGTTCGTCTCCCTAGCCATGGAGACGAAGGTCTCTTCGTCTCCATGGCCAGGGAGACGAAGCTTCTTCGTCTCCGGCCATGGAGACGAAGGTTCGTCTCCCTAGTAGGGGTGTTAGCGAACAGAGCTTTCGGCAAACTACTCGTGTTCGTGTTCGTGTTCGTGTTCGGTAAGCGTTCGTTTATGTTCGTTTGTTAAGGTAAACGAACCATTAACAAACAAAAATTAGAGCTCGGTTAATAAACGAAAAGAGTTTGAACAGTTGTATGCTCGTTTGCTAAGAGATCGTGAACAAGCTCGTTTGTGTTCGTTTATTAATGTTCGTGAACAAACTCGTTTGTGTTCGTTTAATAATATTCGCGAACAAGCTCGTTTGTGTTCGTTTAATAATGTTCGTGAACAAGATCGTTTAGTGTTTGTTAATAATGTTCGCAAACATGAACATATATTATTTCTTGTTCACGAACGAATTGTGATCATGAACATGTGCATGTGTTTGGTTATTAAAGGTTCACGAACGTGCTCATGAACGTAAACCAATATGTTCGTGAACGTGTTTGTTAACAAACATGTTTGTGAACTTGTTTGTTAACGTTAACGAACACGTTCGTGAACGTGTTTGCGAACGTTAACAAACACTAATGAACGCTTAACAAACGAACACGAACAGGATTTTCAAAAACCTTAACAAACGAACACGAACACGAACACTCTAGAATTCTTAACAAACAAACACGAACAATCTTCGTTCGTTTATGTTCGGTTCGTTAACAGCCCTACTCCCTAGCCATGGAGACGAAGGTCTCTTCGTCTCCATGGCCAGGGAGATGAAGCTTTCGTCTCCGGCCATGGAGACGAAAGACTGTCGGAGACGATTCGTCTCCGGCAGTTTTCGTTTTAGTTTTTTTTTTTTTTTAATTATTATATAATTTTAATTATTTATTTTATTTTAAAATATATTTACAAATTATTTTTAAAATTGGTAACCTGCATTTCAGGTAAACAGGTCATTTTGGACCTAATTGCATGATTTTGTGTAATTCAGGGACCCAATTGCATTGTTTTTGAGTTCGATGGCCTAATTGCACTTTGGTGTGCAGTTCAGTGGCCTATTTGACCCTTATTCCTAATTTCTAATCCAAGAAAGAATCCATCGATCATTTGATAATATAAATACAATATGCGCGACAAATTATTCAGTTACATTTTAATTAAATACACTGTAGTTTCATTTTGTTCTGAACACATACACAATAAATAATTTATTAAAATTTAACTGGTGTCGTTTCTTTACCTAAAGAAACGACACCGTTTTCAGACCATGGTCCGTAGTATAACAACCGCTTATACTTAGGTAATATGGTTTGCGCGATAACTTACAAGATTTAATTAAATCAATAGAACACTTACTAATTTATTCTAATATATATATATATATATATATATATATATATATATATGATGCACAATCTAATGAAATCTAAGTCCTTGGTAGAGGCGCTTAGTACTTTCCCATTATTTTTGGGAAAATATTTTCAGAGGATGTATTTGATAGGAATAATTTTGTAGGAAAAATTAATTAACATGCATGTTTGGTATTACCCTTGAAACATAAGAGTTAAGGCTTAAGGGGCTCATTTGGAAACTTAAAAAATGACTTCCCAAAGTCATTTTCTAGATTTTCTCATGTTTGGAAATTTAATCAAAGAAAATAAAGTCAAAGAAAAATATTAGTTGTGGTCAAAGGAAAAAAAAAACTCGATGGTTAGAAAATGTCTTTGATGGATATATTATACCCACGACCTGACCCGGGGTAGCAACATGGACCCGGAGCACCTTGGTGGAGCCCAAGAGCAGCACGGACCCGGGGGACCACGGAGGTGCCCAGGAGCAGCACGGACCCGGGGGACCACGGAGGTGCCCAATAGCAACGCGGACCCGGAGCACTACGGAGGTGCCCCGACCCGAGCTGACCTACGTGGAGCTCGGGTCGGGGAGCTCGGTCCTACCCGAGCTCGGCACCACTCGGGCTCGGGACCCGACCCGACCCGGTCCACCCGGGCCCAGTCAAACTTGAGATCTAACCACCCCCGATTTAAGGGGAGGCGGTTGGGGGGTTTGCTTGTATAAAAACCCCCATCCTTGTCCTAACAAGGGGCAATTCATTCCACATTATACGATTATTACACACTTTGTCCTACCGGATCTTCGTAATAGCCAAATACTACGGCAATTAATATAATATACGGTCCCCAGCGACCTTTACGACATCGTTCTATATTATTCGTTTATTATTCTTATTATACTCTTATCCAGATTTGTTGATTCGGGTCCACCCCGGGTTAATTAAATCCATCATTGGTGCTCTTATTGAGAGCTGCTGTATAAGCTTAAGCGCTCTCCCCACTATCTTTCATCCCCAGCGATGGCAAGATCGATATCCAGCTCTCGTCATACCAATGGTTCCCGCGGCACCCAGCTCGTCGCTAACGGGAACGGCCCCAACGGGGCCCCCGCCCCCAGCATCCAACCAGCCGCCTCCGCCAGGTCGGGGGAGGATCTGAGGGCCCAGCTCACTAACCACCGTAGCAGTGGTGCGCCACCAGCACCCCCTGTCGCCCCCGCTCCAGCTCGCGCACTCATCGGGAGGGGGTGGCGGTCTTTGAATAAGCTTCCACCGCGCTGGCGCGCGTCGCGGCGGGCCTCCGAGCAGAGGAACAAGCCGCCTTAGGCGCCACCGGAGGGGCGCCGGTGTCGCCTCCGCCTCCTCCCACCCGGGGGCGCAGCGGCCCGAGCACCCGACCGCCCCAGGCACCTGTCACCCAGGGGGAGGTCAACTCGCCTCGACCATCGGAGAGGTGGGGAAGAGGGGACTCCCGCCGAGACCGCCAGCGTGACGACGATGGAAGGGCCCCAACCCAAACCAGGCCCGCCCTGGAAAGGTTGGGCGACCGGATGCCAGCCCGGGAGAGGTTGGGCACAAGGCCTGCTGCTAATGAGCCTCCACCAGCAGAATCCTGCTCCCGTAGGCAGTCACCCGGAGGTCGCCGAGCCGCGGGCCCTGGGCCCCGCCGCGACAAGAGGTAGGCCCGCGGGGTCACCGGGACTGGGGACCCGAGTCCCGCCTCGGCGTGCACAGGCCTCCCAGGTCGAACGATCAGGGGAAACGAATGGTAGAGCTCCGAGCTCCCATCGGGTAGAGGTCGAGCAGCTGCGGAGGAGGATGGATGAGCTCCAGAGGAAGTTCGACGAGAGGGACGGATCCCCGGAGCCCCAGGATGTGTTGTCCTCCCCGTTCGCAAACGCCATCATGGAGGAACCCTTACCTCGAGATTTTCGCTTTCCCACCATTAAAGCGTACTCAGGGACCACGGACCCACGGGCACACCTGACCAGGTACAGAGCCGCCATGATGATCACCGAGGCGACAGACGCCATCCTGTGCAAGGGGTTCTTCGCCACCCTGGACGGGCAGGCGCATGACTGGTTCGGATCCCTCCCGGCGGGGTCCATCTCCACCTTTGCGGACCTCACCCGGCAGTTCCTATCCCATTTCGCCACCAGCATACAACGGAAGAAGCAAATTACCGACCTGTGTGATTTGAAGCAGGGGAGCTCGGAATCACTAGCCGAGTACCTCAACAAGTGGAAGAAAGAGGTCATGGGGGTCGCCGACTTTGATGCGAAATCGGCCATAGTAATTTTCCGGAACAACTTGAGGTCGGGCGCTTTTCACCAGGACCTCATCAGGTACCCCCCCCAGGACCTACACCGACCTGATGGACAAGGCAGCAAGGTACGCTGACGCCGAGGCTGCCGAGAAGAAGAAGAAGGAGCAGGAAGAAGGAAGAGGTCGAAAAGACAAGGCACCCCAGGAGGAGCGCAAGGCGCCCCAACCACATTGACGTGAGTATGCTGAGGGGCCCAGGATGAACCCCACACGCTATCTCACCCCGCTAACACAACCCGTGGGTACTATCTTGGCGCATGCGGAGGACCAAGGAATCGTGGTATTCCCGAAGGAGGAGTGCATGAAGATATCGACGAGGGGGGACCCCAACAAGTACTCCATGGAGCACCTGTGTCTCAAGTTCCCGACACCGACCGGGGTCGGGGTCGCCCGGGGGGACCAAAAGGTAAGCCGCAGCTGCTACTTGAAGGCGTGCCGCCAGATTGGTCAAAAGGACCTCCAGATACATACCATCGCCGAGAAGGCATTTCAGGAGGAGGAAGGTCGACCTCGGGCCAAGCCCGTGGTCGAGACAGAGGAGGTCATCCTCGACCTCAGCCGACCCGACCGGGTTGTGAAGGTAGGGGTCGGCCTCCCGGCCGAGCTCCGGGCACGGATAATCAACACCATCAGGAGCTACAAGGAGGTCTTTGCATGGGGTCCCGAGGATATGCCGGGCCTCAGCCGAGACGTGATCACACACAAGTTGGCCGTCGACCCCGCGGTCAGGCCAATCCAGCAACGCAAAATGTACCTCTCCGCCGAGAGGAGGGAGTTCGTCGAAAAGGAGGTCTACACACTGCTGGAGATTGGTCATGTTAGGGAGGTCATATACCCCACCTGGCTGGCCAACGTAGTCCTCGCCCCAAAGCCGCCCACCTGGAGGATGTGCGTGGACTACATCGACCTCAACAAGGCCTACCCTATGGACCCCTTTCCCTTCCCCAACATCGATCAACTGGTGGGCGAGACTGCAGGGTGTGCCCTTATGAGCTTCCTAGATGCGTTCACGGGGTACCACCAAATTTTCATGGAGGAGGCTGACGAGGAGAAAATAGCCTTCACCACGCCAGAGGGGGTCTATTGCTACAAGGTTATGGATTTCGGACTGAAAAATTCAGGTGCCACCTACACCCGAATGGTGGCCAAGGTGTTCAAGCAGGTCCTCGGTCGCAACCTCCAAGCCTACGTCGACGACATGATCGTCAAGAGCACCGACGCCGACCTCCACACAGATGACATTACCGAGGTATTTTCAATTATGCAACGCTTCAATTTACGGCTGAACCCCAAAAAGTGCACCTTCGGGGTGCACGGGGGGAAATTTTTGGGGTACATAGTCTCGAAGAGGGGCATTGAGCCCAATCCCGACAAGGTCAAGGCCATCCTGGACATGGAACCTCCGAGGTCCCTCAGGGAGGTCCAGCGCCTCAACGGGCGATTGGCAGCCCTGGGCCGTTTCCTTTCGAGGTCAGCCGAGAAGGCCTTGCCGTTCTTTGGAGTCCTAAAAAAGACTAAGTGCTTCGAATGGTCCGAGGAGTGCCAGAAGGCGTTCGAAGACCTCAAGACGTACCTGATGTCGCTCCCCCCTGGCCAAACCCGTTAAGGGGGAGGTCCTATATCTGTACTTGGGCATCTCGCAGGCCGCGGTCAGCTCCGTGCTGGTCCGGGACGACGAGGGGGTCCAGCGGCCCGTATACTACACGAGCCGAGCTCTACGGGGAGCAGAGATCAGGTACACACCCGTGGAAAAAGCCATTTTTGCAGTAGATGCGACGGCAAAGAAGCTGAACCACTACTTCCAGGCCCACCCCCGTGCAGGTCCTCACCAACCAGCCACTAGACGCAGTACTGAGGGCCTCGGGGTCGGCAAGCAGGCTGGTCAGGTGGGCCATGTGGCTGAGCCAGTTCGACATCCAATTCAAGCCCCGACCCGCCATCAAGGGGCAGGCGCTGGCTGACTTTATAGTCGAGTGCACTGCCCGGGAGGCAACGGAGCGGGTCAGGGACGAAGACGAGGAGTGGTGGACCCTCTCAACGGACGGGTCCTCCAGCACCAAAAGCTGCGGAGGTGGAGTCGTCCTCATAACACCAGAGGGGTTTCGGGCCTACTACGCCCTCCGCTTCGCGTTCAAATTATCCAACAACGAGGCCGAGTATGAAGCACTCCTGGGAGGGCTCCGCCTCGCACTAAATATGAGGGTGGAGAAGCTCAAAATCCGATGTGACTCTAGACTCGTGGTGGGACAGGTCACAGGTGAATTTGAAGCAAGTGATGAAAGAATGAGGAGGTACCGGGACGTGGTGCTCCAGCTACTGGGGCAGCTGATCAGTTATGAGGTCCTACAGGTACCCCGAGACCAGAACACAGATGCTGAAATGTTATCCAAGCTCGCCCAAGGGGCCCCGAAACATATCTCCAAAATAGCCCGAATTGAAGATTTCAAGAGGTCGAGCCTGGACGCCTACCCGGTCCTACCCGTGCAAATCCGACCTCCTTGCTGGTTGGACCACCTCAAGGAGTACAAGAAGACAGGCACGCTACCTCCCGACGAGGTCGACGCCAAGCTGGTGAAACGGCGAGCCCCCACGTACGTGGTCATGGGGGACATACTCTACAAGAGGTCCTATAACGGCGCCTTGCTGCGCTGCTTGTACCCAGACGAAGCCAGGTCAGTCATGGAAGAAATCTACGAAGGGACCTGTTCAGCCCACCAGGGGGCCTTCGCCATGTCCCGGAGGGCCATCTTACAGGGGTACTTTTGGCCCAAAATGGCCAAGGAGTGCGCCGACTATGCCCGGGGTTGCGAGACCTGCCAACACTTCCAAGTCACCCCCGGCTGGCCAGCCACGAGCTACACCCCCATCAGCTCGGTCATCCCCTTCTCCAGGTGGGGAGTGGACCTAGTGGGAGCTCTGCCCATGGGGTCGGGAAAAATGAAGTACCTCATAGTAGCAGTGGACTACTTCACCAAGTGGGCAGAGGCGGAACCGCTGGCAACCATAACAAGTGCCCGTTGCAAGCACTTTGTGTACAAAAATATTTTGTGCACAAAAATATTTTGTGCCGTTTTGGGGTCCCGATGCAACTCATCACCGACAACGGACGCCAATTCGAGGGGCAAGAGTTCGAGGGGTTCTGTGCAGAATGGCACATTACTCACAGCTGAGTAGCAGTGTGCTACCCTCAAGCAAATGGCCAGGTGGAAAATGCCAACCGCACCATTGTGGGCGGCCTGAAAAAGAAACTGGAATCCGCTGGGGGAGCGTGGGTGGAGGAGCTCGACGCCATTCTTTGGGCCTACCGCACCACCCCCCCCGGAGGGCTACTGGGGAGACACCTTTTTCCTTAGCCTACGGTTTCGAAGCTCGAGCTCCAGCGGAGGTAGTCATACCTTCCCGGCGGGAGGAGGACTACGACCCTGACACGAACGAGGAGCACCATAGAAATGACCTCCACATGATTGATGACAGGCGCGAAGCAGCCGCGATTCGAGCTGAAAACTACCAGAGGCAGACCAAGGCATACCACGATAAGCGGGTCCGACCCCGCTATTTCCAAGTAGGTGACTATGTGCTCAGGAGAAGGGAGGCGAGCCAACCCCAAGCCGGAGGAAAGTTTGCCCCTAATTGGGAGGGCCCGTACATTATAGCAGCCGTGGTCCGCCCGGGCAGCTACAAGCTCAAAACTCCCAAAGGAAAGATGATAGCCAGGGTCTGGAGCTCAGAGCACCTGCTGAGACCTACCACGTGAGAGGTGGGTCTTGGCGTTGATATTCTAGGAGGGAGACCATTCCCCTCCCCTAATAATGTCTTAGTGAGCGGCAGTAGTCGGAATAAAATCGCATATTACAGAACACATTGTGCGCAGGATCCTTTTGTTACAAAGTTGGTTCTCATGCATTTTATCTCCCTTAAAAAAAAAATCGTGAAACGGGGGGGAACGAGTGCTCACTCATGTCTTCCCCCCCCCCCCCGCGGACCCTAAGGGGGCACGAGGTCCGGCCTCGCGTACTAACCCCGACGGAGGACGCACCCTAAGGGGGCACGAGGGACGACCTCGCGTACCAACCCCGACGGAAGAGCCCGGTGGCACAGTCCCGTCGGACTGTGCCCGAGCAGCTAACGCGCACCCTAAAGGGGCACGAGGTCTAACCTCGCGTATAAACCCCGACGGAGGAGCCCGGTGGTTTGGTTCGGCAGGACTGGGCCCAAGCGGTTTGGCGCAGCCTAAGGGGGCACGAGGTCCGACCTCGCGTACAAACCCCGAAAGAAGAGCCCAGTGGCGTAGTCCGGAAGGACTTAGCCCGAGAGGCTAACATACCCTAAGGGGGCACGAGGTCCGGCCTCGCGTACCAACCCCGACGGGAGAGCCCGAGGACATAGTCTCATAGGACTTTGTTGAAGAGGCTAACACATGGCCAAAAAATATATATATATATATATATATATATATATATATATATATATATATATATATATATATATATATATACCTCGCCTACCTCGGCCAGCTGCCGAGGCCGGCCTCGGCAAGCCGCCGAGGTGGCAAAAAAAAAAAAAACCAAGTATTTCGGGGAAAGGCGATAGCAGGTGAAAGGTGGCACCCGTTACTGAAGCAAAGGAGCAGTAGCCATAACATCCGAGTATGACACATATCAAAAAGGGGAAATCAGTTCGTACTAGCTAAAGCAGTTGAAGTAACGAGTTTAGCATAACAAAAGAAGCAAGTGTTGGCCTCATGGGCTACAAAATATCAAAACAAGAAGTCCAAACAAATCTAAATACTCGCATCCGAACCACCGCGGGCAGCATCACTGGCCTGGCACTCTGCAGCATACTCCTCCAAGGTCTCGGGAAACTGGAGACCCTCCAAGTCAGGAGGAACGGTGCCGGACGGGAGGGGGTTCTCAGCAACGTATCGATCAAGGGCAGCCAGGTCTATGGGCTCCTCTAGCGTCCGGTTCCCGCCCGTCAGCGTGGGGAATCAAGAGCGGTCAGATCAGGGCTAGGCTCATCCGGGTTGGGCTCTACCTCCGGCAGACCCCTGCTCACAGGGTCGAAGGTGCTGTCCTTCTCACGGAGGACGCGATAAATCTGCTCCTGCATTGTATATCGTCCGGCCTCGTACGATGAATAAGTCTCAGTAGCCACCCGGCGTTGACCCTCATCGGAGGCCAACCACTCCTCCACCAGCTCGGCCATGTGATCACGGGCGTACGACATGGCTCTAGTCCTGAAATCCTCGGACGCCAAGAAGGTGGGCACAGCTCGGGAGAGCTCCCCACGTAGCCCCTCCACCTCTACCTGTCGCTCTCTACGTAACCTCTCCAGCTCAGTCTGGTGGGACCGCCTGGCAACCTCCATAGCATGGGTGAGCGCACCCACCCGCACCTGGGAAGCCTCATAAGCGTTGGCAAGCAGTAGCCAACGCTGCACAACCTACAAACAGATAGAGTAAGGGAAACATTCTCGAACCTATCGAATAGAAGTAAAACAAGAAATTTTTTACCTCATAGGCGTAAGTAGCAGCATCCTCCACCTGGAAGCACTCCACACCGGGAGCAGTAGCAGTGACTACGGGCTGAAGCACAGCACGAGCGTGGACGCGGTCCACAGAGCTGCGCGCGGGACTCACGCGCAGTGGGGCCGAAGGCGGGGGGAGAGGGGGGCGAGGAGCAATGAGAGGGGCCGGTGGGGCCACCTCGGGACCAGTACGCTGCCCAGAGGTGGGAGCCTGGGCGGCCTGGCTCGTACCTCCCCCCGCAGTCCTGCGTCTCTTGGACGCCCGAGACTCCCGAATCTCCTCCAGAAGCTGCACCCGGCGGGGCGGCATAGTACCTGCTCTACCTGTCAACAGTCGCACAAGCAAGGTTATACAAGGCGCATTTAAAAGTAAATCAAATGTGTACAAAGGAAGAAGATAAGCAGGGATTAATGAATATGGACCTCCCGGGATGGCAATGGACAGCGTCAACTCGCTCTCGGACAAGGACACCGGCGAATCCATATGAGAGGGCGCTGCAGCAGCCGAATTGAGGGGGTCGGCCTCGGGCGTAGGGACACGAAGAATCTCGAAGGCGAGCTCCCCCGAGCTCTCCAAGTCCTCCTCATCCCCGGACGGCAAATCCACCGAGATGGGGTCGGGGCCGGGGCTGCGGCCGGGGTCGGGGACATCGTCACGGCCTTGATCAGGGTCGGAAACATCATCACGGCGGACCGGAGGCGATGGCGGCAGCGAAGTACCCGGGGTGAAGCCCAGGCGCACCATGTTCTCCTCGGTCAGCAGGGGCGCTATATAGATACGAGGACCCGGGTGGCGGAAGGCATGCACGTCCCTCATCAGATCCTCATTCTCCCGGGGGGTCACGTGCTTTCGGAAGCGAGTATTCCACGAGAACGCAAAGGGCAGCTCAGGACCCACAGAGACATAAACGAACATGGGCTTCCACTGGTGATTTGAGGATTGGATGTCCTGGATAATCTTCATGTGTGGGCGAGCCGAGAAAGCCACCCAACCCTTACTCAAGCGGCCCAAAGAAACAGTGACATGAAAGAGGAAATTAAACAAATCGAGATAGGGCTCGACCCGGATTTCCTGACACCTCAAGTGGAAGGCCAGAATCACATAATGGGAGTTCGGGACTAACTGACCCGGACCAATCTCGTAGAAGTTGAGAAGGTCCACAGTGAAAGGATGGATAGGAAAACGGAACCCGTTTAAAAGAGATAAGACATGAAGGCCAAAATGATGGCGGCTCGGGGGCTCCGTAACATTATCACCAGCAGAGGGCTCCACTACCTCAACACCCGGCCCAGCAGCTCTCACGGCCCTGTCCAACTGACCGCGTGAGAGGTCGACAAGGGTAGTACGTGGAGTGTCCTGCCCCAGAGAGGTGTACTCTACCGGCTCGGGGTCGGCAGCGGGCTCGATACGGTGGGGGTGGCCGGGCCCAGGGAGCCCGTGGAGGTCGGTAGCCTCGTTGCCAGGGGAAGGAAACCCATTGACAGAGTTGTTGGGGTCACTCATATCGACTTCACTATCACTAATGGAGTCTAACACGTTTAGATCAAAGTTGAAGGACATACAAGGAGGGTGGACCAAGAATGGGGAGGTACGTGCACTCGAAATTGAGGAGCACAAGGCAGGAGGACCAAAAAGGGGGAGGTACGTGCACCCGAAATTGAGGAGCACAAGGTAGGAGGACCAAAAAGGGGGAGGTACGTGTACCCGAATTTAGGGAGCATACAAAATGGGGGGACCAAAGGAGTGGAGGTGCGTGCACCCCGAGGGGGGTCGGCCGGACCTTCCACCGGTGGCCGTGGGCAGCAGCTCGGTGCTGCTCGGCCGGAGGGCGGCGGCAGCTCGGCGGCGACCGGCGGCGAGCTGGCCGGAAAACGAAAAAAAAAAAAATCTGCGGAGGAATGGGTGAAAGGAAAGAGGAAAGAGGAGGAACTAACCGACCGCGGAGCAAGAACTTGACTAGGAAACCCGGGAGAGCACTTGTGACTTGAGGAGAGTTTGGGAGAATTTTTGCTAGTGAGGGAGAGTGGTGTGGAAAAAATGTGAAGGGAATGGGGGGGTTTTTATAGATTGTTGGGAAGAGAGAGAGGGGATAAGATTTGACCAATTTTGAAATTCAAAAAAGGGATTGGGAAGAGAGAGAGGGGATAAGATTTGACCAATTTTGAAATTCAAAAAAGGGATTGGGAAGAGAGAGAATTTATGGGGATAAGAGATGAAAAGTTGTTTGGATTTATTATGGGAGATTTCCAAGACTTTATAGGGAAATCTGCACCTTTGTAGGGATTCTAACTTATCTGAAGAAATTTTTCACGGAGCAAGAATTCTATCCGGGATTTAATTCTCGGAGGGGGTCGGCTAAATTTGGGAGCTCGGAATTTTCCACCCCGGGGGCTCGGGTCGGCGTACGGATACTCTCCTTCGTTGACTTCCACTCGCAACGAAGAGAGTGGGGGACTCATGATGGATATATTATACCCACGACCCGACCCGGGGTAGCAACATGGACCCGGAGCACCTTGGTGGAGCCCAAGAGCAGCACGGACCCGGGGACCACGGAGGTGCCCAAGAGCAGCACGAACCCGGGGGACCACGGAGGTGCCCAGGAGCAGCACGGACCCGGGGGACCACGGAGGTGCCCAAGAGCAAC